GGAGTGATATGTGACAAGCATCCAGTTTCTGCTAATTAGGCACATGTTACAACATGCTTTTTTTTTTCAGAATGGGACCCACCCGGGAGAGATTATTATTATATTTTAGTGCTTAATGATGGAGAAAAACTGGTACAATACACTGTTTGACTTTTGTTGGTGTTAGATGATGGAGAAGAACTGGTACAATACACTGTTTGACCTTTGTTGGTGTTAGATGATGGAGAAGAACTGGTACAATACACTGTTTCACTTTTGTTGGTGTTAGATGATGGAGAAGAACTGGTACAATACACTGTTTGACTTTTGTTGGTGTTAGATGATGGAGAAGAACTGGTACAATACACTGTTTGACTTTTGTTGGTGTTAGATGATGGAGAAGAACTGGTACAATACACTGTTTGACCTTTGTTGGTGTTAGATGATGGAGAAGAACTGGTACAATACACTGTTTGACCTTTGTTGGTGTTAGATGATGGAGAAGAACTGGTACAATACACTGTTTGACCTTTGTTGGTGTTAGATGATGGAGAAGAACTGGTACAATACACTGTTTGACCTTTGTTGGTGTTAGATGATGGAGAAGAACTGGTACAATACACTGTTTGACCTTTGTTGGTGTTAGATGATGGAGAAGAACTGGTACAATACACTGTTTGACTTTTGTTGGTGTTAGATGATGGAGAAGAACTGGTACAATACACTGTTTGACTTTTGTTGGTGTTAGATGATGGAGAAGAACTGGTACAATACACTGTTTGATCTTTGTTGGTGTTAGATGATGGAGAAGAACTGGTACAATACACTGTTTTACTTTTGTTGGTGTTAGATGATGGAGAAGAACTGGTACAATACACTGTTTGACTTTTGTTGGTGTTAGATGATGGAGAAGAACAAGTGCAATAAACATTTGTGTGTGTGTCTATGTTGGTACTAGTTGATCGAGAAGAACCAGTATGCCTTGGACATGAGTGTGGAGGAGTTGCACGCCAGAGCTAAAGCTCAGCTGGAAATGGAGACAAAGGGCGAAGTGACAGTCAAATCTATCTGTGCTTCATCAAAGCTGGGAAGTCGTGATAACAGACTGGTATGTATGAGCTGTGTGAATAGATGGATGTATCACAGGTGTGTGTGAGCTGTGTGAATAGATGGATGTATCACAGGTGTGTGTGAGCTGTGTGAATAGATGGATGTATCAGTTGTGTGTATGAGCTGTGTGAATAGATGTGTCGCTGGTGTGTGTGAGCTAAATAGATGGATGTTTCAGTGGTATGTGTGAGCTGGGTGAAAAGATGGATTTGTCAGTGGTTTGTGTGAATTGATACTCTATGTGAATGAGTTGTGTGAATAGACGGACATGCCAGTGGATTATGTTTAAAGATATAGTCATGTAAGTAGTATGTGTGAGCTATGTGAACAGATAAATGTGTCAGTTATATGTGGGAACTGTGTGTATAGTTGGAAACATGTCAGTGGTATGTGAGAGCTGTGTAAATAGATGGAAACAAGTCAATGGAAATATGAGCAGTGTGAATAGATGGAAACAAGCCAGTGGTATGTGAGTGCTTTGTATGAAGATGGAAACAAGTCAGTGGTATGTATGAGCAGTGTGAGTAGACAGAAACAAGTCAGTAGTATATGTGAGCAGTATAAATAGATAAAAACAATTCAGTGGTATATGTGAGCAGTGTGAATAGATGGAAACATGTCAGTGGTATGTGTGAGCTGTGTAAATAGATGGAAACTGGATAGAAAAAGAAATGTTAGTTGAGTAGGTCATGGGAAAAAAATTAATGTTGGTTGTGTGGGCCGTGGAGAAAGAAATGAATGTTAGTTGTGTGATGTGGACCATAGAGAAAGAAATGAATGTTTGTTGCGTGATGTGGGCCATGGAGAGAGAAATGAATGTTAGTTGTGTGGGCCATGGGGAGAGAAATGAATGTTGGTTATGTGGGCCATGGGGAGAGAAATGAATGTTAGTTGTGTGGATCATGGAGAGAGAAATGAATATTAGGTTGTGTGGGCCATGGAGAGAGAAATGAATGTTGGTTATGTGGGCCATGGGGAGAGAAATGAATGTTAGTTGTGTGGGCCATGGAGAGAGAAATGAATGTTGGTTGTGTGGGCCATGGAGAGAGAAGAAAATGTTGGTTGTGTGGGCCATGGAGAGAGAAATGAATGTTGGTTGTGTGGGCCATGGGGAGAGAAATGAATGTTGGTTATGTGGGCCATGGGGAGAGAAATGAATATTGGTTGTGTGGGCCATGGGGAGAGAAATGAATATTGGTTGTGTGGGCCATGGGGAGAGAAATGAATGTTGGTTATGTGGACCATGGGGAGAGAAAAGAATGTTGGTTGTGTGGACCATGGAGAGAGAAATGAATGTTGGTTGTGTGGGCCATGGAGAGAGAAATAAATGTTGGTTGTGTGGGCCATGGATAGAGAAATAAATGTTGGTTGTGTGGGCCATGGATAGAGAAATAAATGTTGGTTGTGTGGGCCATGGAGAGAGAAAAATTTTTTATTTGTGTTGGCTGTGGAGAGAGAAATAATTGTTGGTTGTATGGGCCACAGAAAGAGATTACTTGTTAGTTGTGTAGGCTATGGAGAGAGAAATGATTATTAGTTAGTGGGCCGTGGAGAAAGAAATGAATGTTAGTTGTGTGGGCCGTGAGGAGAGAAAAGAGTATTAGTTGTATGTGCCACAGAAAGAGATTCAATATTAATTGTATGGGTCATGGTGAGAGAAATGAATGTTAATTGTGTGGGTACATACATTTATTCCACTGGCTTTGTTGAAAGTTTTCTAGATTTTGTTGGGAAGCATTTCTACTCACACATTGTGTTATGTTTGGTTCAGAGAGACATGCGTAACCGGCTGCTACATGAGTGGAGACAAGCCCTGCTCAAATCCTTTCAGCGTAAACTGGAGACATATAAAAAGACAGCACAAGGTAAGACTTGGCGTTTCTATCTTTTTTTGTTTTTCCCACTTAATTATTTAAAGATTGTTTAATTTCAACATGGCATACATATCAGTTAAGAGTGCTGGGCTCTTATGCAGGAGACACATTAAGGCAGTGGGTTTTTCTGTTGGTGGCAATTAAAATCCTAACCTGCACAGCATATGTCCACTGACTGCACTGGCCATGTGGCCCTGAATCCTCAAGCTTATGATCCCCCCCCCCCCCCCCCCCCCCCCCCCCCCCCCCCCCCCCCCCCCATCCCCCCCCCCCCCCCCCACCCACCCCCCCCCCCCCCCCCCCCACCCTTCCCCCCCTCCTTGGCCCCCCCCAAATCCTAACACCTCACCATTCAGGTACAGTTATACACAGTATCAAGCAGAACCCTGTCGATCCAGAAGTAGTACTTAGCGGAGATGAAGAATAAGAAAAGGCGATGCTCAGTATCATCAGAATGTGGAATATTGTGATCCCCATATGGGTTCTAGGCCCCATTGTGGGGAAATTGAGAACAGACCCACTGCTTCCCCAACAAGCATGTTGTAGGGATCGACTAATTAGGGGCATCCTTTGTAGCAAAGTTTACAGCTGGTGAATGCGAAGAAGAAGGGGAGGAGGAGAATATTGAAATTGAAATCTCACATCCCATCACTACTGTTGTTTGGAGCAGAGACATGGTGAATGACTTCTTTTTCCACCCCTTCTTCAGCGTTTGACTGTGAAAGAGCAGCTGACACATTGTGTTGTACATTACAGCTTGGCTGTGATGTCTGTACCTTTCAGCCTAACACATCCAATTTCAGCAAATCCTTAACTTGAAGTCTTTATGGCATGCTTGTTGGGAAAAAGGGGGGAGGGTCAGTTGGTCTGTCTCTTGTCTTGTAAATGGGGCACCAGAGCCCACATGAGCATGTGAGTGACTAAAATAATTTCTGATCAACAACACATAAACTGTCACCTGCACAAGATAGAAGAAATTCATGTTTCTGTGATTGGGAATGGGGGTGTGTGATAATAAAGTTAATGGATGTGACAACTGTGCATAAAACATCCTACATGAATGTCTGAGATAATGTCTCTCCGTTGAATGTTTCTACGCCCTACGGCATATAGGGCTAGACCTATGTTTTATAGATTCGTTGGCGCTCGGTTTTTCAAAGTCGTAGTGCATCTGCCTAGGAGGTGAGGAACCAGCAGTCTCCTTACAAATAAACCAGATTTGGTAAACAAATGTGTAGGCGAACTTCAAGTTCTTTGACAAGACCCAAGTACAGAAGTGGATGGGAAAAAACACAGAATTTTCTGCTGGAGTTTACACCCAATGAGCGCAACAAAGAATTATGTATGTGAATTTCTGAGATAATATCTCATAGAATGTGTGTTGTAAACATCTTAGATAATGTCAACATGACCCTGTACCCTTACCTGAAGCTGTTCCCACCTGAGGAGTACATCAGCATCATCTTCAAGGTAAGCTGCAGTTTGTATGATCTTGTCAGTCTTTCTGTCTGTCTGTCTGTCTGTTTATCTGCTTAAAGATGATGACAGTTGGATTAGTTAGGTTTTCAACATAAACTTAACGTTTGTTAGAAAAAATGTTAATGTAAATGTGTGTAGTAGCAGTTGTCTCATCAACTCTAATATGTGGAAGTTATATGTTTGTAAGGTAGATATTGTCTCATCTACTCTAATATGTGGAAGTTGTATGTTTGTAAGGTAGACATTGTCTCATCTACTCTAATATGTGGAAGTTATATGTTTGTAAGGTAGACATTGTCTCAGCTACTCTTATATGTGGAAGTTGTATGTTTGTGAGGTAGACATTGTCTCATCAACTCTAATATGTGGAAGTTGTATGTTTGTGAGGTAGACATTGTCTCATCTACTCTAATATGTGGAAGTTATATGTTTGTAAGGTAGACATTGTCTCATCAACTCTAATATGTGGAAGTTATATGTTTGTAAGGTAGACATTGTCTCATCTACTCTAATATGTGGAAGTTATATGTTTGTAAGGTAGACATTGTCTCATCTACTCTTATATGTGGAAGTTATATGTTTGTAAGGTAGACATTGTCTCATCTACTCTAATATGTGGAAGTTATATGTTTGTAAGGTAGACATTGTCTCATCAACTCTAATATGTGGAAGTTGTATGTTTGTGAGGTAGACATTGTCTCATCAACTCTAATATGTGGAAGTTATATGTTTGTAAGGTAGACATTGTCTCATCTACTCTAATATGTGGAAGTTATATGTTTGTAAGGTAGACATTGTCTCATCTACTCTTATATGTGGAAGTTATATGTTTGTAAGGTAGACATTGTCTCATCTACTCTAATATGTGGAAGTTATATGTTTGTAAGGTAGACATTGTCTCATCAACTCTAATATGTGGAAGTTGTATGTTTGTGAGGTAGACATTGTCTCATCAACTCTAATATGTGGAAGTTGTATGTTTGTGAGGTAGACATTGTCTCATCAACTCTAATATGTGGAAGTTGTATGTTTGTGAGGTAGACATTGTCTCATCTACTCTAATATGTGGAAGTTATATGTTTGTAAGGTAGACATTGTCTCATCAACTCTAATATGTGGAAGTTATATGTTTGTAAGGTAGACATTGTCTCATCTACTCTAATATGTGGAAGTTATATGTTTGTAAGGTAGACATTGTCTCATCTACTCTTATATGTGGAAGTTATATGTTTGTAAGGTAGACATTGTCTCATCTACTCTAATATGTGGAAGTTATATGTTTGTAAGGTAGACATTGTCTCATCAACTCTAATATGTGGAAGTTGTATGTTTGTGAGGTAGACATTGTCTCATCAACTCTAATATGTGGAAGTTATATGTTTGTAAGGTAGACATTGTCTCATCTACTCTAATATGTGGAAGTTATATGTTTGTAAGGTAGACATTGTCTCATCTACTCTTATATGTGGAAGTTATATGTTTGTAAGGTAGACATTGTCTCATCTACTCTAATATGTGGAAGTTATATGTTTGTAAGGTAGACATTGTCTCATCAACTCTAATATGTGGAAGTTGTATGTTTGTGAGGTAGACATTGTCTCATCAACTCTAATATGTGGAAGTTATATGTTTGTAAGGTAGACATTGTCTCATCTACTCTAATATGTGGAAGTTGTATGTTTGTGAGGTAGACATTGTCTCATCAACTCTAATATGTGGATGTAATAATTCTTGGTCTACTTGAAATGAAGCGTGGTCTGCTTGGAATGAGTCGATGCTACACTTGGAATGAACCTTGACGTAGACCTGACATGTACCTTGATTTACACCAACTTTAACGTCTAGAGTTGACAGCACAAACGCCGCTCAGCTTCTTGGTACATTCTGTCAGTTTATTCTCGTCCATTTATTTCACATGTTCAAACATTATTTACACTTTATCACTCGCGACATATTCAACACTAACCATTTGCGCAACATAAAGACGACATCTTCAAATACTACAACCGTCTTCTCTGACTTCTGATGATCGACTGACCACGAGGCTAGCTCGGGCTTTCCCTCGCTTCCTCGACTAGGCACAAGTATCTCGTGCTGTCCCTTGTTGCACGGACTTTCTGCTTGCCACTATGTAATCGTGAGGACCATGCAAAGCAGGGTCATTTCATCCTCCCGCCTTTTAACAAAATGATACTTTATGGAACATCAAGTATCATTTTCCATTCAACTTTTAAATGAATCAATAGCACTAAAATCTAACTTCGCTATTCGGGATTAGTGTTCATAATTAGCCCAAATTACTGCCCTTATTTTAATGTTCTACTGTATGCTTTTTCTAGTACTAAACTGGTGAAGGGTATCTATCTTTGCACGTATTGCAACTGTAGTATAGCTTCGTCACTATATCTATTCTATCAGGTTCAAGTGAAATGATCATTGTGATGATGGTGATGATCATGGTCAACTTTGAGATATTTACTACAGGAATAATAAATCAATTTAAATGTATTACTGCTAGGAATTATGGTTTCTGATTATCCTTAATTACTGCCCTTTAAAACTGCTTTCAGTATTTACTGCATGCTTTCCCTGTACTGAGCTGGTGAAGAGTTTATACCATCTTTACACCTATTGCATCTGTAGTATTGTTTAGTCACTATATCTAATCTATCAGGTTCAAAGTGAAATGATGATAGTGATGATGATTGTCAGCTTCGAGATGTTTACTACATAGAAAATTGGATTCAACCAATATTTCTACATCACCTTTCACAGGGTGTTAAACCCTAAGGACTCTTAGCCGATATGATAGTGGTAAGATATATTTAACATAGTGCTTCTAGTTTCCCAAAAGCTCTATAACACCTTTTACAGGGTAATTACCCAACCCCAAGGAATCTACCACAGAAAAAAAAAATGCATGTTGAGATATTTTTTTCATTGACCAAAGTCTCACCTTTCACAGAGTAATTACCCAACTCCAAGGAATCTAACATGAAAACAATGATGGCTGAGATATATTTTTCATAGATCTTAAAGTTTCCTCCAAGTCTATAACCACCTTTAACAGAGTATTCAACTCCAAGGAATCTCAGATGAAATGACTATTGGGATGATTTTTAATAGAGTTTAGGGTTTCCCCACCAGTCTCTACATCACCTTTAACAGAGTATTCAACTCCAAGGAATCCCACACACCTTTTCCCCCTTTAAATGGATACAGATGAGTTCAACTCCTCTACTGTGCTTGTGCTTTGATGTGTGCATTTTTTCTTTACCATCAGTATGTCTATTCAGCATCAGTATAACTATAGATGGTTCCTAATCTTGGATGTGGTGGACAACTTTAGCATGTCCCTGTGCTGTGTACCTATGCCAAAACATTTCAAATTGAATTTATGTAAATCATTCTGTGGAAAAAGATTTCTATATGATCTATTGCTAAATCTTTAATTCGGTTGTGCTGTTCCTGGGGGAGAGAGATTTTTTTTTTTTTTTTTTTTTTTTAAACTTTTGAACTATTAACTCTGTTATTACATGAATACTAAACTATTCCTAATGAACTACTAACTCTGTCATTACATGAATACTAAACTATTCTTAATGAACTACTAACCTAAGTTAAATGCATGTACACTATTAAAATACTACCCACAAATCTTTCATTCATCATTCATTCCTGTTTTATTCTCTTTCATTCCCATTCATTCCAATAACTATCCTTGATCTTGATCCATCTCTGCAGGCTGTGTGTGTCTTGCTTGTACTCTGGCGCTTGCTTTCAAGGTTGTCATTCCTTGGTTTGCTCAACTGTCTGTTCTGCTCTGGGGTCTTTCATGGTAGGATAACTGGTAATCTTGCAAATATACTAACTAAAAATATTATAATTTTATAAGTTAACACAATACTATTATCATTGTTCAGTGACTGTATACACTAATATGCCACCTTTAAAATAATAATTAAACGGAAGGTGTTTAATACACACAGTATGTGGCTGCTTTTTATAAATGAAATCAGGTGTTTATGCACTTTTTAAAAATACTTCATTTATTTGATATTCACACAAACACTAGATAGTTAACTTGATTAACTTTCACAATTAATATTTGTGTACGCACGATGTAATACTGACATTTTTGTGGCTGTTAATTGTGCTTAAACTGTAGGAATGCTTCATTATTCTCGCATTCATTATTTTATGATACGTTTGGTATTCGACGATCTTGATATTGTATAGATGCTCTTGAAGTGTCGCGTAGAATTTGATGATTTTGAAATGTTTCAATGGTCGATTTTGAGGTATCTGGAGAAAATAATTTCTGTTCCTTGATAGTGATTTTCAAATTTGAATAATTCAGTGGCTGATATGGTTCTGTTCATTCACTGTACAGTACTGGTTGGTGATTTCTGATTTTGATTGAAATTTGATAATCTTGAAGATGAAGAATGATAAACTGTCAATTCTTGATGATTGTTCAGGTTTACTCTTGATTGTTTGGTTGAAATAAGACAATCTTGAAGGTAAGAATGGTAAAGTATCAATTCCTGATGATCGTTTAGGTTTACTCTTAGTCGTATGGTTGCCAGTGGTTCTATGTAGGTTCTTGACTGGTGATAATATTGAGCTTCATGCATGGTGATATGTTAGATTGATGATGATGTTCATGATGATGGGCTGTATGGTTTCAAGTTAATAAATAGTGATACTTCAGTTCATAAATAAAGATGGTAATTTTCCTTGAATCAGCTGTTATTTTTGTTGATGGAGATGCCTTTGTTCCCAGACTCTTATGTCTTCATCAGAACAGTCCCTAACGTTGAAGTCTTTGTATCCCAGAATCACATCTGTTCCGATGTCATTCATTACCACTACTTTCAATGGTTTTGATATATAGGGCGACTTCAAATAAATATAAGCTATCTGGAATCGCATCCATTCACCTTCTTTGTCAAAACTGTAAATCATTTCTCCGCTATAATCTGATCTTTCTATAAATTTGTCACGTACCAACGTGATATTTGTTTTTTTTATTTAATTGCATTTGTGCTGGTTTGTTGTTTATCAAACATTTAGTTGACTTTTCACGATATTTTTTACTTGTTGCTATGTGTAATTGATCATAAGGTATGTCTATATTGTCCTTTAAGAATGAAAATTCTTTATTCATGGCTTGTCTATCTAGTGGTATTTCACAATCTGGCTGTTTCATACATTGAGTTTCTTTTGTCTCGACTGATGTCATTGTTGGAACAGTGATATCCTTTGCTTGATTAATTTTCATTGTTTCTGAGTTTGACTTTTTCTCTGTTTCAGTGGCTGTTGTCTTTTTGGATTCACTTTTGTTGCTCGTATTGCTTTTGCTGGATTCTAATTCTGCAATGATGATTTCGTTCTTTATCTTTTTAGTTCCTGGACATATTATTTGGTATGTTCCTATCCAAATTGTATGAGGCTCTGTTGTTTTTCCCTGTTTTTTCCTCCAGTCGCATACTGCACAATCTTGAGTAGGTAACGTAAGAGCTTCTGAATCCATTCTTTTTTGCTTAGTTTTTGCATAACAGGATCTTTTCTTGTCTTTTAACATCTGTTTCCCAACACAGTGTTTTACAATATGTCCGAATGCTGAACAAAAATGGCATTTTTTAGGGTTGTTGTTTTGTTTATTTTGCCACTTTTTATTGACCAAGTCTTCAATATAGCTTGAATATTTAGGATCTCTATCGCAGATAGTTGAAGAACTGTGCTGGTACTTACAAAAATTACACATCTTGATCTTCTGGTTGCTTATCGATGTATCTTTTATTGTTGTCGCTGAAGATACTTGCGACAAAGCGTTCTTATGTTTTACCAACCTTTTAGATGCCATTCTGATAAAGGCACAATCGATGCAAAAAATGTCACGGTAGTAAGAAAACTGATCGTAACTGTAAATAAAATTAGTTCATAGTCCGCTAGTTTCCGCGAAACAATAATGGTCACAAACCTGATTTAATTCATAAACTAGATTTAACATATTTCTGATGTGTAGCACTGGTGAACATGAAACTTCTTGAATCCACAAACCTTGGTAATATGATGTGTGGTGGCAGGCAGGACGTTGATGACACACAACTATGTTCGCGTGTGTTCCATGGTACGATGTTTTTCATTGGTTGGCAGCTGACCTGTCGCAGCTTGCTGTGTTTAAAGGCTCTGCTCGGGTTAAAGCGATGTATCGTACACTGTTTTCCGCATGTTTGTCTTACCTTAGAAGAAACAAAAATGTTTTCCTAATGATTGTGGTCCGTGTGGTTCTCAAATTTTCTTCGGACGGGCCTCCATTTGTAATAATTCTTGGTCTACTTGAAATGAAGCGTGGTCTGCTTGGAATGAGTCGATGCTACACTTGGAATGAACCTTGACGTAGACCTGACATGTACCTTGATTTACACCAACTTTAACGTCTAGAGTTGACAGCACAAACGCCGCTCAGCTTCTTGGTACATTCTGTCAGTTTATTCTCGTCCATTTATTTCACATGTTCAAACATTATTTACACTTTATCACTCGCGACATATTCAACACTAACCATTTGCGCAACATAAAGACGACATCTTCAAATACTACAACCGTCTTCTCTGACTTCTGATGATCGACTGACCACGAGGCTAGCTCGGGCTTTCCCTCGCTTCCTCGACTAGGCACAAGTATCTCGTGCTGTCCCTTGTTGCACGGACTTTCTGCTTGCCACTATGTAATCGTGAGGACCATGCAAAGCAGGGTCATTACAGTGGAAGTTATATGTTTGTAAGGTAGACATTGTCTCAGCTACTCTAATATTTGGAAGTTGTATGTTTGTGAGTTAGACATTGTCTCATCTACTCTAATATGTGGAAGTTGTATGTTTGTGAGGTAGACATTGTCTCATCTACTCTAATATGTGGAAGTTATATGTTTGTGAGGTAGACATTGTCTCATCAACTCTAATATTTGGAAGTTGTATGTTTGTAAGGTAGACATTGTCTCATCAACTCTAATATGTGGAAGTTATATGTTTGTAAGGTAGACATTGTCTCATCAACTCTAATATGTGGAAGTTGTATGTTTGTGAGGTAGACATTGTCTCATCAACTCTAATATGTGGAAGTTATATGTTTGTAAGGTAGACATTGTCTCAGCTACTCTAATATTTGGAAGTTGTATGTTTGTGAGGTAGACATTGTCTCATCTACTCTAATATGTGGAAGTTATATGTTTGTAAGGTAGACATTGTCTCATCAACTCTAATATGTGGAAGTTGTATGTTTGTGAGGTAGACATTGTCTCATCAACTCTAATATGTGGAAGTTATATGTTTGTAAGGTAGACATTGTCTCAGCTACTCTAATATGTGGAAGTTGTATGTTTGTGAGGTAGACATTGTCTCATCAACTCTAATATGTGGAAGTTATATGTTTGTAAGGTAGACATTGTCTCATCTACTCTAATATGTGGAAGTTGTATGTTTGTGAGGTAGACATTGTCTCATCTACTCTAATATGTGGAAGTTATATGTTTGTGAGGTAGACATTGTCTCATCAACTCTAATATTTGGAAGTTGTATGTTTGTAAGGTAGACATTGTCTCATCAACTCTAATATGTGGAAGTTATATGTTTGTAAGGTAGACATTGTCTCATCAACTCTAATATGTGGAAGTTGTATGTTTGTGAGGTAGACATTGTCTCATCAACTCTAATATGTGGAAGTTATATGTTTGTGAGGTAGACATTGTCTCATCAACTCTAATATGTGGAAGTTGTATGTTTGTGAGGTAGACATTGTCTCATCAACTCTAATATGTGGAAGTTGTATGTTTGTGAGGTAGACATTGTCTCATCAACTCTAATATGTGGAAGTTATATGTTTGTAAGGTAGACATTGTCTCAGCTACTCTAATATGTGGAAGTTGTATGTTTGTGAGGTAGACATTGTCCCATCTACTCTAATATGTGGAAGTTATATGTTTGTAAGGTAGACATTGTCCCATCTACTCTAATATGTGGAAGTTGTATGTTTGTGAGGTAGACATTGTCTCATCTACTCTAATATGTGGAAGTTGTGTGTTTGTGCAGTAGACATTGTCCCATCTACTCTAAAATGTGACAGTTGTGTGTATGTGAGATAGACATCTCATCTATACTAATTTATGTCTACTCTAATGTGTAGAAGTTGTGTGTTTGTGAGGTAGACATTGTCTCATCTGTTATAATTTGTGAAAGTTGTTTGTATAGTCTAGATGTGAAAATTGTGGTTTTGGTTGCATACTCAAGCTGTTGAAATGTGTGAGAGAGAGAGAGAGAGAGAGAGAGAGAGAGAGAGAGAGAGAGAGAGAGAGAGAATGGTGTATATATATTTCTAATTTGTTGATGTTGTGTCACAGTTCTTAACAGAAATGATGTCATCATCGGATAGCTACAGTCCCACTCAGGCGATGGTGCAAGTGTCGCTAGGGCGGGCGGTCAATCGCAAGTATAATACAGAATCCAAAACTGCAGCTGGGATGGGAGAAAAGGTTAGCTGTTTGTTGTATGCGTCATCTTTCTCATGTGGGTTCTGGGGCCCCATTTATAGTGGGAAACTACCATTAATAAGTATATTGTAAAAGGCGACTGATTAGAGATTTACGGAAATCAGATGTCCTGGGCTGAAAGATGCAGATTTCACAGCCTAGCTGTAAACCGCAACAACCTCATGACAACAACCCATTTTAGGACAAATGTGGAAGAAGTACTGTGTATTGGGGTATTTTCAGTATTTGTGTGTCTGTGGGTATTACTCAGGCTCAGGGTGAGAATATTTGAAGCCTTGTAAAAGTGAATGTCAGCCCACACACCTGTTGTAGTACAGCGGTGAGTGGAGGAAAGTACAGGATGGTGAGTGAACTTTTGCTATAGGATAATAAATGAATGCATCGGGGGGCTGAATTATAGCACTGGGATATTCCCACACACTGCTCTGTTCCCTGCCTCAGTAGCCAGTGAAGAGATCCTATACTAGTGGTGCCAGTTGCAAATACACGACTTTTCCTTTGTATGTTAAATGTTGTCCAGACCCTTAGCTTGCTCCCTGCTGAGTCCATATCTCCAGGTATGGATATGCTGTAGTATAATAGACTAGTAAAGTGCAGTTCCGTTGTGTAATTAACCATGTTAAAGGGGGAAAAATGCAAGTTCTGTAACTATGTGACCTGAAGGTGAACAATATCAATCCACAGTAAACGCTACCTTTGAGCCTGAACCATGTCTTGAGCCTGGGGATTTAGGTCTTTATGCTAGGGGCAGTCATGTCAGAGGGTGCAGCTTAGCATTTGTTTTATGGTCCTGGACAGAAAAGAATTCTTCATAGGATTCAAATTGGGTCTCTCTCATATTTACTGCTCAGCTAGCCAGCAATCCAAAATAACCTTGTGGAAAGTTGCATTGGTTTTTGTGGGAACTTATTCAGAAAGTTGCATCTGTTATCATGGGTACTTACTAGGAATGATGTATCAGTTATTATGGGTATTTATATGGAAAGCTAGATCAGTTATTGTGAGTACTTTTGTGAATAGTTGCTTCAGTTATTCCGGGTACCTATATGAAAATTGTATAAGTTTTTGTGGTACTTTTTTTTTGGAATGTTGCATCAGTTTGTTTTTCTTGGGTACTTATGTCAAAAGTTGTGTCAGTTTTTGTGGGTATTTATGTGGAAGTTGTATACCATATAAATAAGTAGGTACTTTTTTTCTCCCCAAAGTTATATCATTTATTGTGTGTACTTGGGTAGAGCACAGTTATCAGTTTTTGTGGGTTCTTATATCAAAAGTTTTTATCAGTGTTTGTGGGTACTTATGTCGAAAGTTGAATCAGTATTTGTGAGTATTTATGTGGGAAAATGGGCATTGAATTTATTAAAGTTATACTATTATTATTAAAACTGTTGCTGTTGGGAAATACATTTATTGTTGCATCTATGGATTTGGGACTCTGATACATAAAGTGTGTGCCCCGCGTAAGTAATATCTTTGATATTGTTGTGTTCCGTTACAGATGTTGAAGCTACACGAACTTTACATGGACAAGTTTCAGTGTAAGGACTATGACCTTGACAACCACAGGCTGATGTGGATAAGGGCCATGCACCAAAGTTATGACACCGTCAATATGGTATGTTGAAGAAGTTGGGGGGGGGGGGGGGGGACTTCACAACTGATGGGTGACTATATGATCACTCTCTTCCTGTTCAACATAACCACACAAAATGCCTATCAGTGCACTGTTCTTTGTGAAAGAAAATGTAGACTGCAATCCTAGTAAAGCTAACATACACACACATTAAACGCATAAGGCGGCTGCCAAAATTGCCAGCACAGCTTATTAGAATTGCAGTTTATTGTTGATGGAAGCAGCCTTTGCAACAAATCAGCAGTTGTGCATGAAGTATTGCGTAAGGTACTGCCAATTTTGTGGCAACAGGCCACCAGCCTAAATCTGCATTTCTCAACTCAGATCCCCTTGGACACAATTTAAATACTTGCCACATGAATTCCATAACTCACAATGTTGCTCTGTGCAGTCAGCTGAGTAGTTAGATGATGCCAGAAGAAAACAACCTGCCAGAAGTCAGTGGGCAGCTCACCTATGTACCATATTGGACCACATTTCTTGTATAGTCAAGACAATGAATTTATAAAATATTGATTTTGAAAGGGGGGGTGGGGGTGGGGGAACATGGTTTTAGTGTTTGTATTTTAGTTTTTATTATCATATTTCCAATTGTTTTGTGGCAATATTAAAGCTTATAAACTCAAGTTCAAATAGGTTTTTTTTCCCATATGGCTAAATTTTTCTTTACAGATCAAAGTTCACCTGCCTAGTATGTCACCCATAGCATGAAATTCCTTATTGCCTGGAGTCTCTGAAAACTGATACCACAGTCTTCAGAGTGCAAGACAATTAGCGTAACCACTTTGCCATGGAGACTTCCTTCCTAAATGCAGACAGTCAAGTGTTGTAGATCATTAGGATGATTTTTTTGTTGCATATGCACTCGCTCCATGAGGGTTCTGGGACCTCATTTGTTTAGTTGGGGGGGGGGGGGGGGGGGGGGTAGTCTCATTGTCTCCTGAAAAAGCATATCATAAAAGATGACTTATTATGAATGTTTACTTTGAAGTTGGAGTGCATCTGCCTAAAAGGGGAGGAACCAACAGTCTGCATACAAGTAAGCCATGAACAAAAGTTCTAGAACAAGGCCCAAGTCCTGGAGCGGACAAACAACCAACACTTTACACCAGAGTTTACTGCCAGTGAACATTAAGAAGAAGAAAAAGAAGGTGTACTAACTGAGGAGTGCAAGCAGTTGTAGATGTTACTGTGTGTTTATAAAGGTCATATTTCTTAAGCTGTTAAATAGAAGTCAGCACATTGTTAAACTACACATTTTTACAAGTCAAAACCTATTATTTTAGCATACACAAAGCAGATTTACACAAAGGTTAAGCTCAGGCATAAATGTTGTGGTAATATTTTAAAAAAATCCAATATCTTCTATCAACCAGGACATGTCTATACGAAGATGGCCAGCTCATGTCCAGAGACAGGTGAGTGAGACCATTGTCAAGTGTGTTTGTGTCTGTGTGCATGCGTGATTGAGAGAGAGAATTGCATACAACACAATTTGTTGCAAACTTTGACTTAGCAATGAACAGTCATTCATTAGGGTGCACAGAAGCAGTTTTTCTTAAAGATGATCATCCCTGTAAACTTGGAGCTGCCAACTGGAAAGAGAAGATCAGTAACAAAGATAGAGGCAGGTGTTATCTGTAGCCATGAACCTCGTTTATTTGTTTGCTTTTACCGGCTGTAGTTTCCAGTGGAAAGTCCTGGCTGTTTATCCGTTTCTGGATGTGTTCCATGACCCAAGTTCTACGTGGAAATCCATTTTTCCGTTCTGTGTAGTCTCTTTTCCTTGCCTGTCGGGCAGACTTCAAAGGAAACTTCATTCTTATCTCTAGGGTGGCAAGTAATTCTGAATCTTTTATTGCCCTTTAGTAGGACTCTTTCCCCGTGTGGGTTCCAGGGCCCTTTATAGGGAAAACAAGAATAGACCCACTGCCTACCCAAAAGCATGTCGTAAGAGTCAACTAATTGGGAGCTTCCTCCAAAGTCGGAGTGCAACTGCCTGAGAGGCAAGGAACCAACAGTCTGCACACAAATTAGTCAGATCTGTCAAACGGATGCACATGCAGCAACACTCAGGTTCTGGAACAAAACTGCAGTCCAGAAGTGGACGAACAATCAGAACTTTCCACCAGAGTTTACAGCTGGTGAACGCGAAGAAGAAGAAGTAGAACTCTTAATTGAAAGACATTTAGTTGGAGGCGCGGGCCGTGAACTGTCTCATTGTACAACCAACTTTTTGTAGACATCACCCATAAATTGGGGGGGGGGGGGGGGGGGGGGCTACTGATTGATAGAAGTTTTCTGAACACTGCATCTCTGGGCAGCACAAGAGCTCCAAGAATCCCTGTCATCTCTGTTTAGGTCAACATAGGCCAATATCTGAGGCATACGTTGCCAACCTGTGGCATGAGTCTTGCATGGGGGTCTATAAAACCAAACCAGCACAGAGAATACTGGCACCTTAGGTGAGGTATGTGGTATTCCTCTCTCTCTCCCCCCCCCCCCCATCTTCCTCTCCTTACACATCCCTTAACTCTCCCTCACGCTTGTGATCTTCTTCACATTCACGGGTTGTAAACTTCGGTGGAAAGTTCTGGTTGTTCATTCACCAGACTTTAGTCTTGTTCCAGAACCTCTTCTTTGTATGCACATCCATTTTACAGATCTGGTTAATTTATATGCAGACTGTTGGTTCCTTGCATCTCAGACAGATGCACTCAAACTTTGAAGGAAGCCCCCAATTAATGGATTCTAATGACAGGCTTGTTGTAAAGATCTGTTCTTGTTTTTTTCTCCCCACAATGGTGCCCCACAACCCACACAGGGAATGCCTATAATCAAAACCACTACACTCTCAGGGAACATCAAAGGCTTGGAAGAATAAGAAGATCATCATTGTGGGAAGAGATAACAGATTGAATAGGTAAACAGAAACTGAAAGTATAATGAGGAACATAGACAGTTGCTTTGTAAGTAAATTTGACCCCACCAGAGCATCACAAAGAGTGATAAACACCCAGTAACAAATAATGCCACCATGCGGATGTGGATCACCTGTGGAGAGGTCCCGGAAACCACGTTCAACCGCGGCAAAAGCCAGAGTGGGGCCCAAAATAACAAAATATTAGATGCTTTGTTATTCTTCTTGTCACATATTTCTTTGATTTGACATTTTAGATTGGCAAGTTTCTCCTGGAATTGATTCTTTATAACCTCAAGGTCAATGCAAATCTCTTTCGGCCGAAATCATTTCAGTAAGTTATTGCTGCCTTATCCGGTCATTTATTCTCTTTAGTTTTATTCTGTCATTTATGGATCACCACTCGTCCTGTCGTGTATTATCACCCTCTGCCTCATCCTGTCATTTATTTTCTCTCTTAGTCTCATCCTATTATTAATTTTTCCCCTTTGACTCATCCTGTCATTTATTGTCTCTCTGCCTGTCGCATCCTGGCATATATTATCAATTTCTCAATCTCATTCAGTTATTTAATGCCCCTCTTTGTCTCATCCTGTCATTTAATGTCCCTGTCTGTCTTATCCTGTCATTTAATGTCCCTGTCTGTCTGATCCTGTCACCTCATGCTCCTCTCAGTCTCAGCCTGTCATTTAATGTCCCTGTCTGTCTGATCCTGTCACCTCATGCTCCTCTCAGTCTCAGCCTGTCATTTAATGTCCCTGTCTGTCTGATCCTGTCACCTCATGCTCCTCTCAGTCTCAGCCTGTCATTTAATGTCCCTGTCTGTCTGATCCTGTCACCTCATGCTCCTCTCAGTCTCAGCCTGTCATTTAATGTCCCTGTCTGTCTGATCCTGTCACCTCATGCTCCTCTCAGTCTCAGCCTGTCATTTAATGTCCCTGTCTGTCTGATCCTGTCACCTCATGCTCCTCTCAGTCTCAGCCTGTCATTTAATGTCCCTGTCTGTCTGATCCTGTCACCTCATGCTCCTCTCAGTCTCAGCCTGTCATTTAATGTCCCTGTCTGTCTGATCCTGTCACCTCATGCTCCTCTCAGTCTCAGCCTGTCATTTAATGTCCCTGTCTGTCTGATCCTGTCACCTCATGCTCCTCTCAGTCTCAGCCTGTCATTTAATGTCCCTGTCTGTCTGATCCTGTCACCTCATGCTCCTCTCAGTCTCAGCCTGTCATTTAATGTCCCTGTCTGTCTGATCCTGTCACCTCATGCTCCTCTCAGTCTCAGCCTGTCATTTAATGTCCCTGTCTGTCTGATCCTGTCACCTCATGCTCCTCTCAGTCTCAGCCTGTCATTTAATATCCATCTATGTTGTTGTGTGATTTATTTGATTATAAATATATTATGGCATGCGGATTTGCTTGTTTATACACTGATCTCATTCCATCTTTATGAGTATCTTTGTGCGTATATGTATGAATGACCGTATAAATGCCTGCCTGTTTGCATGTCTTACAACACATGTAGTCTTTACTTCTTCTATTTCTGTCTGTCTTTGCTTTCATACATTCAAAAAACAAAACAAAAAAAGTGGGGGGCAGATTTATTATGTGATTTGTAATTTACATAATAAATAGTTATGTAAGAGCCACAAAAATACCTGATATTTTGCAGAAGAACTGTCCCAGCTTTTTGCTCCATATTTAGACCAGATGTTACCCTTGTAAAAAATGCAGAGATTAAGGTGAGTTATTTTGTTAAAGTTCACATATACTGCTACCCTGTTACAGTACACACACAGTCTCCATGTTACAATTCACATATACTGTCTCCATGTTACAGTTCACATACTGTTTAAGTGTTACTGTTGACTAATACTGTCTCCACTTCTGGTTAAAATGGACGCTAGGCAGCGGCATTGTTCGAAGCGGAGGCAAATTTTTGGCTTCTGCCGGACGGTGGCCGGCGCATTTTTGCTCTGTTTGTAGACTGGATATAATTTCGTCGCCCAGCTTCTGAGTTGAATGCATTGCGTGACACGTTGAGCTGCCGATTGCATTTGGAATGTTTTTTCGACTGTGACCATCATAGTGGTGTGAATTTTGGATTAAGAAAATGGCGCAATGCCTGTCGTGCAATGTTGGTGGAGCCCGTATATGATTAAAATTGATTGCGTGGGCAACTGCTGATCTGTTGGCGACTTCTGCTATCATCAAGGATGAACTGCATTTCTAATGTTGGACTGTTTGTGTTAGCACTTCGGATGGCTACCGTATGCTTTAATGCGAGTGTATGCTAGATATGCTGAGACAGCAGTCTGTCAATCTTTCCACAAGGGATAAAAATTCTGTGTGTTTTTTGTTGGCACAGGAGCAGAGCAAAGATGAGGTTACCCGTTTGCTATGAAGCTGAAACTAATACTACCAGACTAACCAAACTGTCTCCATGTCACACTTCACATTCTGTCTCTATGTTACAGTTCACATATACTGTCTCGGTGTTACAGTTGACTAATACTGTCTCCATGTTACAGTTCACATATACTGTCTCGGTGTTACAGTTGACTAATACTGTCTCCATGTTACAGTTCACATATACTGTCTCTGTGTTACATTTGACTAATACTGTCTCCATGTTACAGTTCACATATACTGTCTCGGTGTTACAGTTGACTAATACTGTCTCCATGTTACAGTGCACATATACTGTCTCGGTGTTACAGTTGACTAATACTGTCTCCATGTTACAGTTCACATATACTGTCTCGGTGTTACAGTTGACTAATACTGTCTCCATGTTACAGTTCACATATACTGTCTCGGTGTTACAGTTGACTAATACTATCTCCATGTTACAGTGCACATATACTGTCTCGGTGTTACAGTTGACTAATACTGTCTCCATGTTACAGTTCACATATACTGTCTCGGTGTTACAGTTGACTAATACTGTCTCCATGTTACAGTTCACATATACTGTCTCAGTGTTATAGTTGACTAATACTGTCTCCATGTTACAGTTCACATATACTGTCTCTGTGTTATAGTTGACTAATTCTTTCTCCATGTTACATTGCACATATACTGTCTCGGTGTTACAGTTGACTAATACAATCTCCATGTTACAGTGCACATATACTGTCTCGGTGTTACAGTTGACTAATACTGTCTCCATGTTACAGTTCACAAATACTGTCTCGGTGTTACAGTTGACTAATACTGTCTCCATGTTACAGTTCACATATACTGTCTCTGTGTTACATTTGACTAATACTGTCTCCATGTTACAGTTCACATATACTGTCTCAGTGTTATAGTTGACTAATACTGTCTCCATGTTACAGTTCACATATACTGTCTCGGTGTTATAGTTGACTAATACTGTCTCCATGTTACAGTTCACATATACTGTCTCAGTGTTATAGTTGACTAATACTGTCTCCATGTTACAGTTCACATATACTGTCTCTGTGTTATAGTTGACTAATACTGTCTCCATGTTACAGTTCACATATACTGTCTCAGTGTTATAGTTGACTAATACTGTCTCCATGTTACAGTTCACATATACTGTCTCAGTGTTATAGTTGACTAATACTGTCTCCATGTTACAGTTCACATATACTGTCTCGGTGTTATAGTTGACTAATACTGTCTCCATGTTACAGTTCACATATACTGTCTCGGTGTTATAGTTGACTAATACTGTCTCCATGTTACAGTTCACATATACTGTCTCGGTGTTACAGTTGACTAATACTGTCTCCATGTTACAGTTCACATATACTGTCTCGGTGTTACAGTTGACTAATACTGTCTCCATGTTACAGTTCACATATACTGTCTCGGTGTTACAGTTGACTAATACTGTCTCCATGTTACAGTTCACATATACTGTCTCGGTGTTACAGTTGACTAATACTGTCTCCATGTTACAGTTCACATATACTGTCTCAGTGTTATTGTTGACTAATACTGTCTCCATGTTACAGTTCACATATACTGTCTCTGTGTTATAGTTGACTAATTCTTTCTCCATGTTACATTGCACATATACTGTCTCGGTGTTACAGTTGACTAATACTATCTCCATGTTACAGTGCACATATACTGTCTCGGTGTTACAGTTGACTAATACTGTCTCCATGTTACAGTTCACAAATACTGTCTCGGTGTTACAGTTGACTAATACTGTCTCCATGTTACAGTTCACATATACTGTCTCGGTGTTACAGTTGACTAATACTGTCTCCATGTTACAGTTCACATATACTGTCTCAGTGTTACATTTGACTAATACTGTCTCCATGTTACAGTTCACATATACTTCTCCATGTTATACAGTTGACATACAGTCACAGTTGTTTAATATTGCCCGTGTGGTAATGTATTGAAATAGTACAACTGCACGAAAGAATTAAATTGGAGTAGACCATGAAGCAGCCTAAGAAGACAATGAGAAGATAATAAATAGACAGATCTGGAATCACCGTTTCCTTCAGAATTATAATGCATTTGCCTGAGAGGCGAGGAACCAACAGTCTGCACACAAATTAGTCACATCTGTAAAACAACCCTCAAGTCCTGGGACAAGACTAAAGTCCAAAAAGGAATGAACAACCCAAGCTTTTTGTTGGAGTTTACAACTAATGAACAAGAGGAAGAAGAAGGCACAGGTGTAAGAGTTGCACTGAAGAAGAAAAAGGTCAGGCCCTCGCCACAGCGAATAACCAAAGACCACACTGGGTGTATATACCCACGGCGGCTAACCTTTATTGTTGAGATACCCAATTTCTTATTAAAAATGGACATCTAACTGATAAATTTTCTCTACTTCTAGCCATTCTCGAAACCTTTTCCATAGGTATTTGTCCGCCTTCACATTTCCTGTCAGTTTTATAAGTTTTATTGTACTGTTGTTGCCATTATAGGGCTGGCAGTCTTTTGCTCCATTCCATTCTGTCCTGTTCAATCCCTTCAATATCATGGATTTCAGTTTGGCTTGCATGAAAGTATGTTTATATTTCTTTACTGTGCCTTTTATAAAGAGCTGCAGCTGGGTGGATGGTTAGAATGTAGGGCTTTCATGCAGGAGACTCAGGTTTGATCCTTGGTAAGAGATGGAGATTTTTTTGTAGACAAAAATACAAATTCTGGCCTGCACAGTTTACGGTAACTATACTAGCCACGAGGCCTTAGATCCTCAGGCTCAAAACACCCTGTCCTACACTGTCCTAAACAGTGGTAAATACTGCCAATGAAAACAGTTATTATTCTGAATTTTCCTAGTTTTAAAATTTGGTTCCTCTACATATTCTTTACTCCTAGATGCATCCGGTTGTGACAAAACTGTTTAACTGTGAGAACAGCGAGTCTTTCACCTTTGACCCCAGCATTGTGCCAATGGTTGTCCCTCCTGTGCCATGGATATCCAAGAATATGGGGGGACTCTTCCTGGGATCTCGTAAGTTTTGTCACTTCTGTCCTATTTGTTTGAACATTGCTGTCATTTTTGTTTAATGCTGTCAAGTCACTTTGAAAGCAAATGAACAGTGTGGAGACACAAATAGATCACCACAGTCTGAAGAGAATGGTGCAGTGGATTTGGCTGACACCCAAAACTCAGGGGAAAGACAAGACATAACGATCAGACTGCTACTGGTACCATTGGAATTAGAATATGGCACTTCCTGCTGAAGATAGGAGTGGAGACTTATCAAAATACTCTGAGTGCTGTGATGTCAGTTGTTAGCTCAGCTCAGCTGATGTTTGTGTGTCTAGTTGACTGCTGATGTCTTGTCACTGACATGTTTGTCACTGAATAGCTGTCATGTGTGATCCCCAGATGCCCTGGTGCGTGTGGGGGCCGATATGTGCCATGTGGATGTGCTCAAGACAAAGACAGACTACCAGTATCCAGCAGTCTTGGATAGCCTCAACACACTGAGCTCATGTGCTTGGACGATCAATCAGCCGGTAACATATTAGTTAGTTAATTGACCGATCATTCTCATCGCACATCCCCATCTTCAGTATCTCCCTTAGCATGTGACATCTGATAATACCAGTTCTGTGTTGATTTACTACCCGTGTAGTCTTCATGTCTGGCAACACCTCTTATGTCATGAAGCTCTTCTAGTCTTGTCAAGGTTGCAGATTCAGCATTGTCTATTGAATCATCTATACATCCTTCCTCCTTGAGAGCATTAAGGACATCAGCCTGGTCCATTGCTATTCCTGTGCCATCCTTGACCCAGCCAGCAAGCCACTCCACAGGATCCTTCCCTTTTACCACAGAGTATCCCGGCGAAACTGAAACTGATTCCTGTCAGATGACATTTCCCCAGGGACTGACAATTGTCTTTTAATCCATCCTGTCTCGATCTTCTTAAGCATGTTCATAGAATCAGTTAGAAAGTGCACATGGAAACAAATCTGGGTCTAATCAGGTCAAAAACTGGTAACCTGTTTGTGATAACTCGGTAATTTCAGTTAGCTGACCAGTGCTCTTCACATTATTGTTCACTGGCAGGATATACTGATCAAGACAGTTGGAATAATACTGACAAAACAGTTGGGAGTAAAACTGACCAAGACAGCTGGGGTAATGTTGACCATGACAGCTGGGGTAATGTTGACCATGACATTTGAGGTAATATTGACAGTTGGGGTAATATTAACCATGACAGTTGGTTTAATATTGACCATGACTGTTGGGGAAATATTGACCATGACAGTTGGGGTAATGTTGACCATGACAGTTGGGTAATATTGACAGTTGGGGTAATACTGACCAAGGCAGTTAGCACATTACTGAAAACATATCTAGAGTGGCAGTTGGAGTTCTATAGCCCACTGCAAGGAATGATATAGTAGCCTGACAGTTGTTTTTTAGCCTTACTACTTGCCAAGTGTATGATAGGATAGCCTCAGATGTTTTGCTGGTGATTTTCTCATTAGATTCTGGACCTTCAGATAGAAATCTTCAACAACAAAGGTGATGCCAGGCTCAAAGTGGCACCTCCAGCACCAGAGCTTCCTCCATTGCCAGGGATTACACAGTGAGCACTTGATGTTTGGTTTGGTTTTTAGTTGTTGTACCACACTCAGCTTCTTAAATGAGCATTGTCTTTAGAGAACCTCCTATTTAGTCATTGTCTTCAGTGAATGTACCACTGACTGGGGCTCTCAGCTAGATATTGTCTTCACTCAATCTCTCAGCTAAACATTGTATTCAGTTGATGTACCAGAGACTGAGCCTCTCAATTAGACATTGTCTTTACTAAATCTCTCAGCTAAACATTGTTTTCAGTTAATGTACCAGAGACTGAGCCTCTCAACTAGACATTCTGTTGAGTATACCTCTCAGCAGAACATTCTGTTGAGAAGACCTCTCAACTGGACATTCTGTTGAGAAGACCTCTCAACTAGACATTTTGTTGAGAAGACCTCTCAACTATACATTCTATTGAGAAGACCTCTCAACTAGACTTTCTGTTGAGAAGAACTCTCAACTAGACATTCTGTTGAGTATACCTCTCGACTAGAAATTGTTTTGAGAAGACCTCTTAACTAGATATTCTGTTGAGAAAACCTCTCATTTAGACCTTCTGTTGAATAGACCTCTCAGCTAGACATTCTGTTGAGCAGATCTCTCAACTAGACATTCTGTTGAGAAGATCTCTCAGCTAAACATTCTTTCAAGTCCACCTCTCAGCAAGACATTCTGTTCAGTGGACCTCTCAGCTAGACAGTCTATCAAGTATACCTTTCTGCTAGATATTCTATTGAAAAGACTTCTCAGCTAGACATTCTGTTGAGTAGACCTCTCAGCTAGACAGTCTATCAAGTATACCTCTCAGCTAGATATTCTCTCAAGTCGACCTCTCAGCAAGACATTCTGTTGAGTAGACCTCTCAGCTAGACAGTCTATCAAGTCGACCTCTCAGCAAGACATTCTGTTGAATAGACCTCTCAGCTAGACAGTCTATCAAGTATACCTCTCAGCTAGATATTCTCTCAAGTCGACCTCTCAGCAAGACATTCTGTTGAGTGGACCTTTCAGCTAGACAGTCTATCAAGTATACCTCTCAGCTAGATATTCTCTCAAGTCGACCTCTCAGCAAGACATTCTGTTGAGTAGACCTCTCAGCTAGACAGTCTATCAAGTATACCTCTCAGCTAGATATTCTCTCAAGTTGATCTCTCAGCAAGACATTCTGTTCAGTAGACCTCTCGACTAGAAATTCTTTTGAGAAGACCTCTTAACTAGATATTCTGTTGAGAAAACCTCTCATTTAGACATTCTGTTGAATAGACCTCTCAGCTAGACATTCTGTAGAGCAGATCTCTCAACTAGGCATTCTGTTGAGAAGAGCTCTTAACTAGACATTCTGTTGAGAAGATCTCTCAGCTAAACATTCTTTCAAGTCCACCTCTCAGCAAGACATTTTGTTGAGTGGACCTCTCAGCTAGACAGTCTATCAAGTATACCTTTCAGCTAGATATTCTATTGAGAAGACTTCTCAGCTAGACAGTCTATTATGTGGACTTCTCAGCTAGACATTTTCTCAACTATACATTCTCTCAAGTCGACCTCTCAGCAAGACAATCTGTTAAGTGGACCTCTCAGCTAGACAGTCTATCAAGTATACCTCTCAGCTAATTATTTCTTTCAAGTCGACCTCTCAGCAAGACATTCTGTTGAGTAGACCTCTCAGCTAGACAGTCTATCAAGTATACCTCTCAGCTAGATATTCTCTCAAGTCAACCTCTCAGCAAGACATTCTGTTGAGTAGACCTCTCAGCTAGACAGTCTATCAAGTATACCTCTCAGCTAGATATTCTCTCAAGTCGACCTCTCAGCAAGACATTCTGTTGAGTAGACCTCTCAGCTAGACAGTCTATCAAGTATACCTCTCAGCTAGATATTCTCTCAGCAAGACATTTTGTTGAGTAGACCTCTCAACTAAACATTGTATTTAGTTAATTTTCTATAAACTGAGCCTCTCAACTTGACATACTCCTGAGTAAACCTCTCAACTGGACTGCAGGTAAAAGTTCTTATGTAGGCATGACTAGAAAAACAGCAACAATTAATGAAAAGAAGAAGGACATTGTGGCTGATATCGTCTTGTGTAACTGCCAGGGAGATGACCAGTAAAGACAAGGCCATGTTGTACAGAGAGAGGCTGCAGCTGCAGCAGCAGAGACAAGACATGCATGGCTTATGGTGTACAGACCTCTACCGGCTCTCCATCGCCAACAAGGTGAGACCACCTCTCCTTGTTGCTGTAGTGTGTGTTCTGGGGAGTTTCTCCATGTTAACTGATGCATGGCAACAGGATAGGGACACATTGACTTATAAACAGCTGTCTTACAATGTTGCCACCTTGTCATCTAGTCAGGTGTCTTGTCTCATCCCCCTTAGCTTGGACATATTTGATCTCACTCCCACCAATATAGACATCTGTTTTCTCACTCCACCAGTGTTGATGTGTTATTTCATCCCACCAGGGTAGACATGTTTTCTCACCCCCACCAGTGTAGACATGCGTTATTTCATCCCCAACAGGGTAGACATGTTTTCTCACCCCCACCAGTGTAGACATGGTATCTCACCCCCATCAGCAGTATAGACATCTCTCATCTCACCTCCGCCAGTGTGGATGTGTTATCTCACACCCACTAGTATAGATTTGTCATATCTCACCTCCGCCAGTGTGGATGTGTTATCTCACACCCACTATTATAGATTTGTCATATCTCACCTCCGCCGGTGTGGATGTGTTATCTCACACCCACTAGTATAGATTTGTCATATCTCACCCCACCAGTATAGTCATGTGTTATCTCACACCGACTAGTATAGATTTGTCATATCTCACCCCACCAGTATAGTCATGTGTTATCTCACACCCACTAGTATAGATTTGTCATATCTCACCTCCGCCAGTGTGGATGTGTTATCTCACACCCACTAGTATAGATTTGTCATATCTCACCTCCGCCAGTGTGGATGTGTTATCTCACACCCACTAGTATAGATTTGTCATATCTCACCTCCGCCAGTGTGGATGTGTTATCTCACACCCACTAGTATAGATTTGTCATATCTCACCCCACCAGTATAGTCATGTGTTATCTCACACCCACTAGTATAGATTTGTCATATCTCACCCCACCAGTATAGTCATGTGTTATCTCACACCCACTAGTATAGATTTGTCATATCTCACCCCACCAGTATAGTCATGTGTTATCTCACACCCACTAGTATAGATTTGTCATATCTCACCCCACCAGTATAGTCATGTGTTATCTCACACCCACTAGTGTAGATTTGTCATATCCCACCCCACCAGTATAGTCATGTGTTATCTCACACCCACTAGTATAGATTTGTCATATCTCACCCCACCAGTATAGTCATGTGTTATCTCACACCCACTAGTATAGATTTGTCATATCTCACCCCACCAGTATAGTCATGTGTTATCTCACTCCCACTAGTATAGATTTGTCATATCTCACCCCACCAGTATAGTCATGTGTTATCTCACACCCACTAGTATAGATTTGTCATATCTCACCCCACCAGTATAGTCATGTGTTATCTCACACCCACTAGTATAGATTTGTCATATCTCACCCCACCAGTATAGTCATGTGTTATCTCACACCCACTAGTATAGATTTGTCATATCTCACCCCACCAGTATAGTCATATGTTATCTCACACCCACTAGTATAGATTTGTCATATCTCACCCCACCAGTATAGTCATGTGTTATCTCACACCCACTAGTATAGATTTGTCATATCCCACCCCACCAGTATAGTCATGTGTTATCTCACACCCACTAGTATAGATTTGTCATATCTCACCCCACCAGTATAGTCATGTGTTATCTCACACCCACTAGTGTAGATTTGTCATATCCCACCCCACCAGTATAGTCATGTGTTATCTCACACCCACTAGTATAGATTTGTCATATCTCACCCCACCAGTATAGTCATGTGTTATCTCACACCCACTAGTATAGATTTGTCATATCTCACCCCACCAGTATAGTCATGTGTTATCTCACACCCACTAGTATAGATTTGTCATATCTCACCCCACCAGTATAGTCATGTGTTATCTCACTCCCACTAGTATAGATTTGTCATATCTCACCCCACCAGTATAGTCATGTGTTATCTCACTCCCACTAGTGTAAACATGTTTTTTCCTACTCCCATCATATCTTATTTCACTCCCTCAAGTGTTTTATCTTTCTTTGACCATTGAGGAAAGCCACCATCTTAACCATCTGAGATGGGCGGGAAATTATACTGTCTGATGAGTTGAGTCATTCCCATGCATGCTCCGTGCTCATCTTCAGCGGCCAGCGCAGAGTTCCAATACTGATGGTACCGGTTATAATCTGGTTAAAAATCTGTCTTGCCTTTCCTCTGAGTGTAGTGAGTCAGCCAGACCCTTTGGTTACACCCAGGTGCCTCATTTCTCCAGGCCATAATAATCTTCTTTTTCGACTGATTCCATTGCTTGTCCCTAAAGGGCCTTGACCACATCTGCCTTGTCATGTATCAATTCACCACCCAGTAGTGCGAATCCAGCCAATCTGTCTGCCTGTTCATTACCCACCACGCTTGGCATGGCCTGGAGAAAAGATTCAAAGTGTGCTTACCACCCGTGACCTTTCCAGTGATGTTAGCCACTCTGTTCGAAGCATCCCTGTCTTCACTTTTTTCAGCATGCTTTCAGAGTCTGATACAATTACGACATGTGTATGCATCTTGTTCTCTAGCCACCGGAGAGCTGCAGTTACGGCCTCCACCTCCATTCTCATGCTAGATGTTGTGGTCTCATATGCTAGGCTGTCTTGTACTAAAAATTTTCCATTGGCTTTCGCTACGAACCCCCAGGCACTTCTCTTTCCTCTCAACACTGAACCATCTGTATAGATAATCAGATCACCAGGGCATGAATTGTCGTGAATCAACGGTTGGACTTTAACCTCAGTACCATCCGCTGGCCACTCTCTGCACACCCGGGCCCAATGTTGTCATAACCCTACACAGGTCAGACTTTCCCGCTGGTACTCTGACCCACTCCTCTCCTCGCCCAATGTTCTCCAGCATGCATACTTTTTTTTTTGTATACTGTCGGATAGACTGAGGGAACAGGGAGCCGCGTTAGCACAGTCGATAAGAAGCTCACTTTCAAATCCATCTGCGACTCGCTGCAGCCACGGTCGGTGTTCAAAACCTGGCGGCTCCCGGGGTTCACCCAGCCTCTAGGAAATGGGTACCAGAGTGATACACTGGGGTAAATGGAGGAACGTCGCTGTAGCTACAGAGTTATATGCGAACAGCGACACAGGCGGACAGTTCTTATCAGCTGTCCGTACTGGTACCTTTACCTTTAGACTGAGGAAACAACACTGTGCACCGGATACATTGAGAAGCAGAAGATCAATCTATTAGATCATATTGTGCACAACTACTACCAACAACAAGCACTACATGCAAGAATATCTAGTGTGAAAGCAAGAGGACGCCCAAGGAGAAAGGAATTGATGATATTAAAGCCATTATACATTGACACGAAATGACAATGACAGTAGCAAGTGCCAGCCGATCACAGTTTGTTTCTCCACACTATGCTTGTGGCAGAAGGGGGAATTGACTAGGATGATGGTGATGACGACTTACTGTAATCATTTATTAGTTTGGGCTAGGTTATACAGCTCTGACCACTTCTTTGTTCTCCATGGGGGGTTCTGTTTTGGAAAGGGAAAAGATGAGACACCCCATCCCCACCCCTCTCTCCCACAGCATGTTGTATAAGACGACTAATTAAGATTTTGCTGAAATCACATGTGTTGGACTGAAAGGTGCCAATATCACATCCTAGCAATATACCACAACAGGGGTAAACACAGAAGAAGAAAAAAACAGAATAGTTGTTTGGGTTATGTCATTTACATTGTTGTTTTCTATTCTGAATCCAGTTCCGAGACGAAGTGTTTTGGTTTCCTCATTCTATGGATTTTAGAGGTCGGACATATCCACTTCCCCCACACTTCAACCACTTAGGTATGTACTCGGTGTATCATGCATATGCTGTATGTCTTCGTGGGTGTTAGTTCAGACTGTATGTACTCGGTGTATCATGCATATGCTGTATGTCTTCGTGTGTGTTAGTTCAGACTGAATGTACTCGGTGTATCATGCATATGCTGTATGTCTTCGTGGGTGTTAGTTCAGACTGAATGTACTCGGTGTATCATGCATATGCTGTATGTCTTCGTGTGTGTTAGTTCAGACTGTATGTACTCGGTGTATCATGCATATGCTGTATGTCTTCGTGTGTGTTAGTTCAGACTGAATGAAGTAGGAATAAGACAAGATACAAGCTGGTCTTGCCAACAAAAAGTTTGACACACATTTACGGGAACAAATTTATTATCCATGACAATATTTTTTTAGGTATGTACTGCAGCATATCATGTATACATCGTATGTTTTCATGTTGGCTGTGTGCTAATTCAGACTGAGTGAAGTAGTAACAAGGCAAGATCAGAGCTGCTCCTTCCAACATATAACTAGATTAGCCCTACACACATACTTGTCAACAAATTGTCTGTGACAAGTTGAATTCATTTTACAAGGTTTTCAAATCCTTCCTATGATTCCAGTATCTATGTTCTATTTTATGCTATCGTACTTTTTCGAGACTGTCATACTTTATGAAATGTAATGTCTGTCTCTTGAATTATGTCATGTAATGTTTCATCGTGTTTTATGTCTTGTGATGTCTGTGTTATGTTTTATGTCATGTGATGTCCTCATTATGTTTTCTGCGTTGACTGGTAAACTGATTACCTTACTTCCATGTTTCCTGCAGGAAGTGACAATGTCCGAGGTATGCTTCTGTTTGCTAAAGGCAAAAGACTGGGCAAGGAAGGCTACGACTGGCTGAAGATCCATTTGGTGAACCTGACCGGCTTAAAGAAAAGGTTCGGCTTATTGATTGTTTGATTGATCTGATTTATGTTGAGTTGTATAGAGGAAATTTTCATGATCTTTGAGTACTAAGGTTCAGTTTGCATGGTGGACATTCTATAACTGTTTTTATAGTTTTAGACGATGTATAATTTTTCCACAGACAGTAATGAATTTATGTAGACAATCTTCAATATGGAAACGGCACACAGTTCATTTTGTTATAGATTAAGGAGATGTTTTCCTTATTGACTGAGTCACTTCACTTGTATTGAGTCATTTTAAAAACTTAAGATTTTCCTGTTCACTTATTTGCCATAGAGATTTACTGTAGACTTAATGTTTCTGTTTATTTTCAGTCGTATTTAGCGCACATGAAAACAACAGGTAAATTATTCTCAGTTATAGCTCCTTCACCAATCTCTGGTCATGCACTTAACCTACTGTGGGTCAAAACTTTGATGTCAGCTAGAGGTCTCTTAGTTTTCCCTAAAGTAGACTTGTCTGAGCTGTGGGAGTTCAGCCTGGGCTTCATCTGCCCTTGGGTGGTGCACATAGTTGAAGAGGTATTTTTTGCAGACTAGTGAATTCTCGGTATGTGTCAGTTCATCCCCACCAAACAATGGTTGACACATTCTGTTTCTGGGTTTTGTTTAGTTTTTTGTTTGTTTTTGCTCTCTGTCTAGACAGTTGTCAGTTGAGACTAAACTGGTCGCAGTTCCACTCCTTCATAACTGAACCACAATAGATGCTTCTATGAAAAAACAGTGCTTCCTGTGTTAGAAATGTGCACAAAGTAACATTGCATGACGAGGGAATAGAAAAATCTGAAGAAAAAAATCAGTTGCTAAACACTGGCAAAATGTTGCTGCCATCTTCAAAATGGAAGTCATCCTCAGTTACATAATTGAAATCTGCGTGTATGTGCTGTTACTAAACTTTCATTTATACATGAGGTTATACCAGCGTGAAACAAGATGATCAGATCCCTTCCCTACCACCAGTTACTGAGTCAGTTTTGTGTGTATGTTAATTGATTACTCGGCCAGTATTGTGGAGCAGCAGAATTTCCCAGTGAGGGTTCCGGGGCGTCACTGTGGTGAAATCAAGAATAGATATTTTCAGTCGTATTTAGCGCACATGAAAACAACAGGTAAATTATTCTCAGTTATAGCTCCTTCACCAATCTCTGGTCATGCACTTAACCTACTGTGGGTCAAAACTTTGATGTCAGCTAGAGGTCTCTTAGTTTTCCCTAAAGTAGACTTGTCTGAGCTGTGGGAGTTCAGCCTGGGCTTCATCTGCCCTTGGGTGGTGCACATAGTTGAAGAGGTATTTTTTGCAGACTAGTGAATTCTCGGTATGTGTCAGTTCATCCCCACCAAACAATGGTTGACACATTCTGTTTCTGGGTTTTGTTTAGTTTTTTGTTTGTTTTTGCTCTCTGTCTAGACAGTTGTCAGTTGAGACTAAACTGGTCGCAGTTCCACTCCTTCATAACTGAACCACAATAGATGCTTCTATGAAAAAACAGTGCTTCCTGTGTTAGAAATGTGCACAAAGTAACATTGCATGACGAGGGAATAGAAAAATCTGAAGAAAAAAATCAGTTGCTAAACACTGGCAAAATGTTGCTGCCATCTTCAAAATGGAAGTCATCCTCAGTTACATAATTGAAATCTGCGTGTATGTGCTGTTACTAAACTTTCATTTATACATGAGGTTATACCAGCGTGAAACAAGATGATCAGATCCCTTCCCTACCACCAGTTACTGAGTCAGTTTTGTGTGTATGTTAATTGATTACTCGGCCAGTATTGTGGAGCAGCAGAATTTCCCAGTGAGGGTTCCGGGGCGTCACTGTGGTGAAATCAAGAATAGATGCACTTGGAAAAATCAAGAATAGACGCACTGCTACTCTGAAAAGTATGCCATAAGAGTTGACTTATGGCGACTTTCTTCAAAGTTGGAATGCATTTGCGCGAATGGCAATGATCAACCACTTGCACCCAAATAAGCCAGTAAAACAGATGTACTCACAAAACTCAGGCCCTGGCAGGCAGCCATAACCTTCTGCTGCAGTTTGCAGCCGGTGAACAAAGAATACTAGTGACTTTGTTGCATAGTGGGGGGAAATCGGGAAGGGAATAGGGGTAAAGAAGAAAATGACTGAGATAAGTTAAGAGCTGAGGTTAAGAATAAGCTTACTAAATACAGATGATCAAGACATCCTGTGCTTTAACTGGAAGTCTGTCTTAGCACAAGCAGGTCTGGCTAGTCACACTCGCCATCGGGATGCAGCAGTACTGAACAACACATGGTGCTGCACTGTTGCGAAGTGAAATATTCTAATGTATCAACCTCACATACTGGTAAAAGTCCATTCTCTGTAGCTGTGCATCTGTCATGTTTTTGACGAGGCAACACAGTATGATGATGAAATGAACTGGTGAGACAGCCTTTTCACAACTCATAAAAGGTATTGCCGACATCTCGAGCTACTGTCTTGTTTCATTAGTGATCCTACACTTACCTGCCTCGTTACCCAAGACAGATTCTTCTCTTCCTGCGACGGCGCTCTTGGCTGTCCTCTAGCAGTCTTTAGCGGGTGCTTCAACTACACTCTCGACTGTCCTCTAGCAGTCTTTAGTGAATGCTTCAACTCCCAACCCGAAATTCCCCTTCATGACACACAGTCGTGAGTCAGTCTCTCGCTGTTGGATCCTAACAAATGTTGGGCTTTCCACGCCTTGTCTCCACAAACTATGCACAATAGGAGCATTTTGACTCATACACCAAATTCTGATGCACAAGTTAAATTTTCACTGAACTAAAACGATACACATAATTACTGCTAAAAATTCACAGACATCTGGACTTGCGTCCACACGATCGGACTGGCTGAGAGACACTTATTTAACACCCATGGCCAACCTTCAGCTCAGTGCTCTGGCCCCCGCATGGTTCTTGTTAAGCGCGTGCAAACCACTGTTAGTCCTGAATCTCCAGAAACACCTCTTTCACACCTTTGTGCACAGCATGGACTTTTGCACTCGTCTCGCACCTCAGGCTACATGGACCCCTTTGCCCACGTCTCTGTTACCGTCATCATCGCATGCTGTTATGACGCACAGGCGAGCACGCCTCTGATTAGCCCAGTGAATTCAAGATGCAACATCTACGCCTCTCCGAAGTCATCCTAAAGGCAGGTTTCCAGTCGGGTACCTGACCAACATAGAAAGGATCAACATTTTCTTTGAAGTCGGAGTTCATCTGCCTGAGATATGAGGAACCAAGTCTGCATATAAATAAGCCAGATCTGTAAAACAAAAATCCATGCAAAACTCAAAACTCCTGAAACAAGACAAGAGTCCAAATGTAAACAGACAACCTGGACTTTCCACTAAAGTTCACAGCTGGTCACTGTGGGGAAGAAAAAATAACACTTGCCATTACTGTGGGCTGTAGGTCCCAAACCTTCCTATAGCATAGTATAAAACCATTGTCTAGAAAATGTAGAGCAGCCAACAAACAAGATTGTGTGTATGCAAGTCACCAATGGCCGCTGACCAAGCCTGGTTGATTATTTCAGGTGTTCCAATGCAGAAAGGCTGGAGTTTGCCCAGAGCATCATGAGTGAAATCTTAGACTCTGCGGACAGACCTCTCACTGTGGGTTTGCCCTTGTCACCTTTACGTTGTTGTCCTTGTGTTGTTTTTGCCATTGTTTATATTGTAAGTAGTATGCTTGTCGATTTGGGGGTGGATCCTTGTGGATCAAGAAAAGCCTGTTGCTGCCTTCTGTATAGACTCTTAGAGGAGGAGGAGAGATCAGTATGCAGAGTGGTGTCAGGGTTCATTAGCTGGTAAGTGTCAGACCTGGAGATAATGTCATCAGCTGATAAATGACATCCTGGTGTGGGTTTACAAGATATTACACTCTTATAAATAATAATAATGGAGAGAAAAGTTGAAGAAAAATGAGCAAGAAGCAGATTGCTATACAAATGGGAGGACAACACATCAAGAGATGGACAATTAGTCAGTCTGAGAGTGTGTACATCCATAGCAAAAAGAGCTTGTTTGAGATCCATTGCAGCCAATCCTCATTGTAGAGACGGCACCTGATTGATTGATGATTGATGTTATGTATTTTTTTTTTTTTTTTTTTTCATCGAACACCGGCTGTGAATTCCAGTGGAAGGTCAGGTAATCGTCCGCTTGGACTTTTGGCTTTCACCTGGGCCTGATTTTTGCGTGTACAACCGTTTTTTATTTCCCTGCCTCATGGGCAGCTGTACGCCGACTTCGAAGGAAGACGTCAGGCCTATTTCTAGGGTGACTGTGGCCATTGTTTTGTGTGGGTCGAGACGTTGCCTGATTTGTGTGGTGTCCACTTCGTCTCCTTTGCCGCAGGTATTGCCCCCGGAATACCCCTTTGGGTCGGCCCCCTGTGGAACAGTTAGCCCTCAAGGGAAGGCAGGGGCAGATCTTGGGCATTCCCCGCCATCCAAGGAGGCATCCATGTATGCAGAGCCGACACATGGCGCTCTGGTTCTGGGCTCACCCAAGGAATCGTCACGTCCTGCACAAGCCTGCTTAACCTCACAACCGTATCAGGCTTCCCGCTCGACAGGGGCTGCGCCCTCTGGGGGTCAGCGGGTTTTGGACTTTTGTAACCACACAGATAGGTACATTCTTTTTTCTTCGCACGTTAGATTTCTTTGACGAGCCGTTAGCCCGACAGATTTTACATCCTGCATCAGGCATATCGTTATCAGTTTTGTCCCAACACTCGGGCGAGTGGTGTCCTTGGGTGTGGACATTCGGTCTTTTTCAGTTCAATTCTAATTTTGAGGTCAGATTTTGATCAGTATGATCTAGTTTTGTCGGAAATTTAGGCTTAGCCATCCGATCGATGGATGGTTGCTGTTGTGGTGTACCACAGCGCGGTGACGACGACACTGAGGGTTTACCAAGGACATGAATGGCCAGCCTGTGGATGGTTGCTGTTG